CCAAAATTCTTGACTCAATGATACATTTGAACGGTATTGATCTGTGCGTGGTTATTGTGTGTCTATGTTAGTAAACAATCGGTCCACACGTGCATTTGTTTCATTCAGGGGATTGTTATTAAATTATCAGAACATGAGTCGAGATAGTCGAGAATCAGTTCGAGGGATGTGGTGTCCAACAGAGTGCTGATCACTCCGGTAAAAAAAGAGCTGAGCTAAGCACGAGTACTTGAGTGATTTCAAGTAGCTCGATCATTCGAGTAGTTCTTTTCGGGGTGACTATTTTTAAGCCACTTAGTAGAGTATTAATAGAGTAATCGACAAAAAAATAAAATGAAAAACAAAAACACACAAACTGCTTAATCGTCTGTTCTCTAACAAAACCGTATTTTGTTAACTGAAAGACATATAAAAATAATAATATGTTTCAAACTGAGATGACTTTTAGGTTAAACAACACGTAAAATGATTAAATGAAGCTACGTCACAATCTTAAGATACCAGTAATTAGGACATCTATCCTACAATTAACATTTTTACCCAAAAGAAATTCCTACATTTACTCTACCTTTACAAATTACTTTAGGAAAATTTGTCATTCTGCATGAAAATCCGGAGTAATAACGATAACATAAATACACAAGTAATGCACGATCAAAGTGATTTTTAATTCAGAAGTTTCCGCATTAATATACGATCAATGCTAAAAAGTTTCGCCGCATCGCGGAGTTCAGACACGTTCGTCTCTCTCCCAGTTTCTTATTTAACTCCGTATGGCCGCGTGCACACACGACGAACCACGAGAACACGAAAAAAAAAGCAATGAAGTATCTGGACTATGCGAGGAGATCGGTGTGGCCCACGATCTCGTACGGTTACAGCACCTACCAAGAATTCCCCTGAGCATAACACACCACCGATGACTCAATCGCCATCTGCATCGGCGAGCGCAAAGAAAAAAAACAGTACGAACCCTAAAATTGCCAACCTTGAGGAGACCTAACCAAATCTGAAGAATTCTCGTCGTCCAAACAAAGGGGACCCCGCGAACGCTTCGACTCGCCGCAACCGTTCAAATAACGAGAATTCGAATGTTTAACACTAGAACTACCAACGATAAACACATATCTTTTTCAATCGATCGATAAATATGGCAAACTTTTGATAATTTACAAATTTATAGATTAACTGATTTCTTTAATGTCGTATCGTAATAAAAGTTACAAAAGATCTGAGAAAATGTATTGTTACAACATTTTAATCATCGTTGCTCGACTTGCTCGGTAGTTCTAGTATTGTATCAAACTAATATTGTAATTCCCCAGATAAATGAACACTAACAATTCCCCTGTGACCCAAGGCTCTTTGTTTTATTCGCCAACAAATTTTGGAATTTGAATTGTTGTTGTCGGTGGAATGGTGGTAATAATAAAGGAAACTTGCAAACCAAGGTCAGAGGCTCCTGGAACAATTTAAACTTGAGGATTGCTGCTGACGATGTATACTCGCTAAAGCAATTACATAATTATTAGACAAGCTACTTCATAATATACTAAGAAGCACTCTGTTCAATAATTTTTACAATCGTTTAGAAAAGATGATGAAATGAAACCTGGAGTTATGAAAGCATTATTAATTAGACTCTGAAGGAATTTTGGATTTGCAAGTGAAAAAAAAACATAATAGTTACACCGTGTTTCGTTAAAAACCTTAATTTGTGTGGTACTAGAATTTTCCCTAAACCAATATCTGCCACTGTGCCTTATTTTCCTAACCTTCTCGAACCTCGTATACTATAACCAAGTTTATGTCATTTGACACGTATTACCATAACGACATTTATGTCATTTGACGTGTATTACCCATAAACATTAATTTTCAACTTCACGCCTAAAGATGCGTCATGGGTATATTACGGGTGACATGGCAGTTAAAGTGCCAATAAGAGCTGCGGCGAAGTGTTTGATCAAAATAACGTCTAACTAAACGACTTTCCATGACATAAATGTATTTTTCGGTGTGCTAGTTTCGTAGATAAATGTGTATTCATATTCGATTATTTTTTTTTTTTTCACACTTTTCACATGGACTTTAAGCTCTAACGTGATAATGCATCGCAAGATAACCGCGTGGGCACCAGCAGTAAGGCGTTTAGAACCGCCAACTCCAAGGTGGAGTTAGGTGAAGAGTTGCCTCATTCTATCGGAACACGTCCACGACGACTCTCGACAAGTTTTCATAAGCGTGAAAGCGAAGGGAATAATACACACATACGTACCAACTGCCCGGTCGTGCGTCGGCTAGTCTTTCACGAAGTCAACGGGCCGAAAGATGCTCCAACTCTTCTTTTTTTCACTTTCAAGTCACACAAGTCGTACACACACACACACACACACAAATACGTCAAGATTCCACGCGCACTTCTTCCCTTGTCACCGTTTACTAAGATTTGTCTTTTGCTCGAAACAATTAAAAAAAAAAAAAAAAAAAAAAGAACAGTCAACAGCACTCGCGTGATCCAGTTCCACTTTCCGTTGCTGTGCTCACACCTTTTGACGCAATCGGAGAGACAGTTCAAACGCCTCCTCGATACGAATTCGAGGGAATCCTCGGTATCACCGTCAGAGAACCATTCAGCGGGGCTCTAGTCGCGAGTACCAGAGAAAATTATTATCGAACAAGAGTCGCAACGAACATTGGCAAAAATTATCCTCGACCAACAAACGTGGCAAAAAGTGCCGGTTCTAATACACGGCCGCCGCAGGATACCGCGCCACGCGCAATAATGTTTACATTTACACTGGTAGGTCGTGTCGTTACTGACACGGACTTGTGGTGATGTGTTTCAAGACCCATTCGAATGTGTCAGCGTTATCGCGTGGGGGGGGAGTGAACTGCGCACAGAAAATCGAAACAGTGAGAAAAGGATTTGGTTGATAAAACAACACACACTCGCTCAATCTTCACAATTCACTGTATAGTTCCGAATTTGTGTATATACAACCGGCTGTACTCTACTTAACACGCTCGCTGCAACACCGCACGGAAAACAGATCCCTTAATGGGTGTGACAAGTATAGTAATGGAGCTACGGGAGTATTCGAATGACGGAGAGCAGTCGAAAATTAATTGTACATGGTGAAATTGCAAGTTAGGCCGGAGAAAAAAATAGTAACACTACAGAGAGAAATAATAAAAAAAAATGTATCGTTAGGTTTCTTTATAAATAACTTTTCGGTTTCTTTTTTAAATTTATGTAGGTTGTATTGTCTTTAATCTGTCACGTTATTCTGGATGATTATTAAACTTCGTAATGATTATACAACTCCATTTATACTCCTCAGTAATTTTCCAATATCCTTACCCGCGAAAGTTGCATATGAGTCAACCTAATGCAACAATGTAGTCACGGAAGCCTATACTTCGAATACTTCCATAGCTCACTATATCTGTTCAACCAAATCATGGGCACGCTTAATATGTCGCACAAATGCCCTTCAGTCACGATCATCATACCAATACTCACTTTTAATTAAGTATAAACGCAAAGTTGATATGATAAATGAAGCATTAAACGATTTGCAACGCCAATTGGCGGAGGTCGTACCCCGACTAGCCACCGGAAACACCAAATGGCGTGCCCCACAGCGAACGTGTTGAAGAAAGTGGTGTACGGTATCGCGGTTTAAGAAATACGTTAAGTGTTGATTGAGAGAGGAACATATAAAAAGAAAGTTATTGGTGTTACGTGTGTGGAAGACCGTTCTCTGCCAGTTACATACTCTTCTCCCGATGCTCTCCCTACGTTACATTTCGCACGTACGACCTTTCTGTCACGATTTTTCACTCGCGGGACGTTCTCATTAGCGGTCTAATTAAGTAGAGGCTCGAGGGTTAAGGAGAACCACGGTGAAACACGGAAAGAGGGTATCGAGCGTGCGACTCCTCGTCCATTCAAAGAATCCTGGCCACTGATACACGAAAAGTGCTACGTGATAAACGAAACGGAACGACTTTAAAGCACGTGCCCACCGTACGCGTTGCAGTACAAAAACGTTCTGAGGCGCAGGTCTCAGGCGGCATCGCGGCTACTGTGCGCGCTTCGGAATGTACCCGCCATGTTAACTTCTGCGCCGTGGCCGACATCTGCCGGACACTGCCTGAACTATTCCAACAAATTTCAAACTCACTAGGTAAATCGTACTCACGAACGTACAACTGCTGCGCATAGAATGTCTCTCAAAGCACAGACCGTAATTTTGTTTCTTTGTTTAAATTATTATCCACAGCTTGTAATACAACAAGGTGGTATACGATCAGAATTAGTTCCAGGCCTCGAAATTCTTTCGTGTGTGTAGCATGAAATTGTGAAAGATTTTTCAGGGCATATGTAATTGTCCCAAATTGATCTGAATCATCGTTGACGTAGAAAAGTAATGGAATGCTAGACAAGGTTAAAAATGTACAGAGATTGGCTCAATTAGTAAATCGAGTATTAAAGTGATGATTAGGATGGAATTGTCAGATTTTCGGGGTAACGTGTATTCACTGTAACGTGAATAAACCTGATTTGATTTGAATCAACATTGCATCAGAAAGCTAAGAGCGCGCTGGAAGGTGATCCAAATAACATAGAGACTAGCTTAAACGACTGAAATCAATAAAGTAGCTTAAAGTAGTTCGATATAGAACTGACTTCAGGGTTTTAAGTTTGATTTCGCTTTTTTGTACATAACACAGAATAGATGAGCGACCTTAGATGAATACACCAATGTTCATTACGTTATGTGCTAACGATTCCCGATATGTCACCACACTGGAAAAAAACGCGGGAAAACATACCATGTTATTCTTCGCATGGTATCAAAACCGAGTGACATTTCTCGGTTATCTTGATGCATATGCTCCATCTTTACTGCTTCGGTGTTTATGTAGCCCGAGAATAATCAGACATTCGATTCGGAGTCTAGTTAAAAGCTGACATTAAAATTGTTACTTACCCTGCGCCGCTATTTGAGCCTGGTGCTGAGCCGCGGTCCTCTGTAAATAAATATACTGATTTAACATAAAATAATACATTATAAAACATATATTACAAACTAATACATTAGAACTGCTTCCCTGAAAATATTATCTATAATTACAAAAATTAATGTACTATTTTTTAAGCATTAAAGCAATAAATACTTGTTACAAAAATAATAAATGTAAAGGGTGTTTCATCGAACTTCATTATCGAAAATATTTTTCTTTTGGTTCATTAATATCCTCAAAACGGAAGAAATTGCGTTCGATGATGATCTTTACCCCTTCGTGTCCACTGCATGATTTGCGATCAATTAAGGAATAATTTCAACAATTACGGTAATTCGGACTGTTAAGTTATTAATCTTAAATAACTTTTTCGTTATATTTACGACACAACAGATGTGAATCGAAGAAAGAAATTATCTTCACTGTGCTCAGATGTGGATACGAAGAGTTTTTTTTTCAGTCACTTTGTATCTTTCAGAAAAATTTTGCGAATACAGATACGATAACGTATATTCATTTATTTATCACGCGAAATTTTATAATATACTTTAAATGAAAGTGTTTAAATACATTTTGTAAGATCAGACGTATACCCGAAGCCTCGAGACTCTTCGAATCTAAGGAACGGCTTCTTGGCTTCGCCCCGAAATAATCGTCCTTCTTCCCACCCTTTATCCATCGAAAGTATGAGGACATGTTGCACCTGTCACTAATAACGCACTGTCACGGTACTATCGAGTCACATAACTTTGCATTTGATGCCACGGTAATTTTCACCGCACTCTTGCTAATCGTGTCAACCCTCGGTGAGAATCATGTGAAAGTTCGACGGCGCGGAAGTAATATACAAACAAAATTATCTTCTTCCTTTATTAAAGAATAAAAGAGTTACGTTAAAATTCGACATTCACTGGTATACAAACACTATTATAAGAAACAATTACTCTTCATCGCACAATGTCGCATTTTCAATCTTTCGCAAAAAAAAAAGATTGCATCAAATGACGATTTCAATTTTACAAAAGAAAAATTTAACCTTTTAGAATTATTTAAAATAGGTTTGATAAGATCAATTTCTTCAGATTATTGAGATCGTTTCTTATGATCAAATAGACAGGATTTATTTAGAAATCCAATGATAATAATTATATTTCACTTTTGTTGACCGAATATTAGATCAGAGAACATCACTTTTGTATTTCGTTTTTCTTGTAAGATGTCTGGTGGACAACAAACGTTTTCATAATTTTTTTGGTGATCTAACCGAAACAATTAATTATTCCTAAAGCAACTCCAAAGCTTTTAAAGAAATATAGTGCGCCCGATATCACAAGGTACACTGTATACTTAATGCGATAACGAGCGGAGTATTAAAACACAATAGTCCTTCATTTGCGTTTCGAGCTAAGATAGTCTTTTCTTGTGTAAACGCATGTCTTGCGAAACCCTTGATAATATTCTGTTATAATGCATGTAAATCGTATGCAGAACATTAATGAAATTTTAATGTTATACAGGATGATCTGTTTTAATCGACTGACGCGGTTATTTTCAAAAGTATTGGCAGTTTCTGAATTTTCTTGTTACCACTGGATTTTCTCCATATCTTCCAACGATTTCTAATCTCTTTCAATAGTTACATCATTTCTAAATGTTCTCAAGCATTTTTCGACAATATTTTCCAACATTTGTAGAACTTTGCCTAATACCAAACATTTCAAACCGAACACCACTATTTCTTATTAGCAATGTTTCCTTATTTTCTTATCACGATATAAATGTATATTTCCTTCATTTTGCATAATATTCTTTTGCGCATTGCGACGTTTGTTGTTTTTGTAAAAATGCAAGTTACATATGCATGTGTTATTGATACGTAATAGTGTGTTACTTCTAGTAAAATCGAAATATGAAATATAGTTTCGTTCGTTTCATTTTATACAAAATAAGTAATATTATAAACAGATGAATAGAAATAGAAAATAAAAAGCGTACACAAAAGAAAGATACGAGTAATCGTCGTATTCTTCAAATTTGGAAATACGATGTTTTGCCCAATGCGTATGAATTGAATATTGGACCTCGGTTAATTGCGTTATTTTTTTGAATATATGAAGTTTGTTTTCATGCATTTTTTTCTTATAAATACATAAATCCGACACATTGAACAGCCCAATCAATGCATAAACTAAAATTGTTTTGAATTGCCACATGCGACGGTTTTCTTTACAGCCACAGAAATCTCAAGAACAATTGTACAAGAGAATTATATTTCCCGAAATATGAGTCGAAAAAAGTTCAATTTAAAATACTTTTTGTTTACAATATCCATGGATATGGAAATATCAATGAAAAACATCGAAAACGTTGTCCTGAATATGTAATCGCCTGATAAGGTAAATAAACAATATTGACGGGGACTTCGGCTGGTCCATATTCAGCAGATGCAAAACAGATGTCATTGCGACATCGAACGTTCCCATTACAAAATTAACGCCCCAGGTTCAACCGATCGCGATGCATAAACCAAGGAAATCAATTCTATCCAACGCGACGAATGCATTTTTTACAAGAATATACGTGGTCTCGCAGAAAGCTGGTCACCGATATTCGTTCTGTCCAGTTCTATTTGGGGTTCAAATAAGACACTTTCTGCAAATTCAGCGAAATAAATACATATATAGCAGGTGTGAATCGACTGTCGCCTGAGTCACAATTATCAGACAAGAATTATTGACGTTGAAAACGTTCTGTATGCCGATCAGAAAATTTCCACGTTTCAATGTTGCACAGATGACCCTTCCACACATCGTATTCCGATCGAACAATAGCCGTGATTTACACAAGTAGTCGCTTTCATAAAATGTCCAACGGAAACGAAAATGCACGAGCTCCTAGCAGTTCCCAAGACCGTGGGGCGAAACTGGGTCACCGAACAGAGGACATACGAAAATTTTCTGGGAACAATAGACTCGGGCGGTGTTTCTATTGAAAAATCGATTCCGAAAATGTGTACAGATCCAACACCGAAATAAATGTTTGTTATAAAAATACTGTCAACCATTTTCTGATTGTCACTTTCATTGGTTCTTTTAACCGAGACGGTCGGTTCATTTTGTCATGCTTACTCGCACGAAGTCGACTGGAATGATATTTTAATTTCTAACGTCTGATGGATACAAAGTACACGTTTCAGGTTTCTAATAAAAATAAAAAGAAAACATGCGTCATTTGACATTTTACTGTGATTGAATATAAAATCATACATAGACTGAGGATATATTTATGGTAATTCGTCGTCTTCAAAAGTTACTCTTCAAAAAGAATACCAGAAATGGAGAAAATTTGTTTCGTTAAAATAGATTTGACTGTTTTTATATATAGAGTGTTTTGGGAACTTTTTGCTTCGATATTTTGTTATTTTAGAATAATTTTGCATATTTTTTCATTGCTTGCGTCACAGTCTACCTACCTCGAAGAATGAAGAAGGTGGGAAAAGGGGAGAGGAAAATGAACCACGTAAGATCTCCAGGTATTAGGTTTAAAGCTTACATCGGCGGGTGTAAGGTGAGAGAAGAGCGGAACGAAGAGTACCGCGAACTGCTAGCTTTCAATTTAGAAGAACCGAACAATAGAGAAGCTCCGCCGATGAACTCGAGACGTCCTCTCTGACCGCGAGAAGCCGTCATTCGTTGTCTTTTATAGCCTGGCTGAAGAAACCATTGCGCATGTAACTCGTGTTTTTCATTATGAAAAAAAAAAACAAACCGTTCGTCTAGAAACACTTGAATGCAGTAGATCCATTTGCTTTACGACGAAATATTGGAAAAAGAAGATCGTCTACAAAATAGACTTTTTAGTGGATATTTTGGTAGAAAATATCGAAAATAAACCTGAGGAGAAACTAAGGGCGAAAGAAACTGTCTTTGCTTAAAAGATGATAGCAGAGAATAATTAACGAAATCTACGAATTAAAACAAAAGAGTAGAAATACTTTTTAAACCGAACGATACTGTGTATCCGTTGATCATTGGGCGATGGAAGTCGTTGGAGATTCAGAATTTAAACTTTTCTTAAAACAATATATCTATTTGGAATTTAGAAATGTATTTTCTCAATATAAGTGACTTCTGTATAGGAAAAGAATCATTATATTTTCAAACTGTCAGATGTTATTGTCACGTTAAATCTCGGGTGAGCACCATGCAAAAACGATGATACATCGTAGAGAATTCCGAAAAAAATTCCTCGAAACAGGATCTTGACCGACAGACAGCAAAATGAAAGTTGATTACGAACCTTCCCAAATGAAACAGACTAAAAGAATTCGGAGATAAAAATTCATTTAAATGCTTAACAGGTAGACAGTCAGCACTGCCACTGTGTGGACAGAAAAAAATTGCTACTTTAATTAACAACATTTGCCGCCAGAGATGGACAAATTCATTATTTAGATAACAAATGTCGAATAACGAATAAAAGATAGAAAAGAAAGTACTTCGCCATTTTTAATCGATTAACGTGTCAATTTGTCATTCAATTCTTGAATGAGTACACACTTGTCAGACGATTTTTTATCCTTATTAATTGTTTTTAAAGGTCAGGAAGACGATCTTAGATACTGCCGTTTCTCGTATGTATTATTCGAATAAAATTGTGCCCAACTGTCTGCACCCCATAACATTAAAATTATTATGAAACCTTTATAAAATATTCCCCCTGAATTACGAATCTAACGTGTCCTATATACCGCAAATTCAATAAAAGTGATGTTCCCTGAACATGAATCTCTTTAAATTACGAGAAAAATGTCGACAGCCCGTTAGCTTTATGTGCAAGTACTCTCGGTACAGATGGGAAAGTACATCGTTCACGTAACACTAATGAGATACACTTAATCGCGAGCGAAAACCACCGCGGATCGAAACGATCGATCGTTAGATCGGACGAACTGGTGTTCCGTGAGATGCACACGTGATCACGTCCGAGGAAAGATGCGCGCGCTTTCCTTAGCACCTTCTACGCTCCAAGTTCCGCGACTCACTGAGTGAAAAACACGCCTTTAAGCGTGTCTCTTTTTCTCGGCGAACCCCGCGTATACGTACCCACACGCAAATCGGCCGGTCGGTGTCGCGCGTAAGCATACACAGGGGCACACACACATGTGCGCGCGCGACACCTCTCCCACCGAAATCCACAAACGACGTGCATGTATTTCCTTTCCCGGGTATTTAAACCAAGGACTCACCTGAGTATTGTTTCAATGCTGTATATCGGTGGACTCGCACCGAGAAACCGGTGTGTGTATCACCGAAACCGAAAATAGAATCGAGTTTGTACGATGCGTAGAGGGCGCCTGTAAAGGGTCACTGAAACTGTATGTGACTGGAACCAAAATGGCGGACGGGAATCGATATATACGTATGTATTATTGAAATCGCGACACGGTACGCGAAACTGATGTTATTGTTGAAAACCGTGGTAATATCAAAGGCTTGGTTACGAAAATGGAAATAATACTGATAATATTATAATAATATTGGAACCGATATGTTATCGAAACGAAACGAGGCGAACACGTTACGGAAAACCGGTATGACTAAATGTTTATGTATTACCGTGAATATAATATTACACAACATTCGAAACCGCCGGAACACACCCGTGAACGGGCCCCTGTTACCGAAAGCTTGAGTCACGCGGATGTAATCGTAATGTGTTGATAAGTATTTTACAACACGGCCGTGCCGCACTGATTCGAACCACCTGTCGTGCGCGGCGAAGTCTATTTACACATTACGCCGAGAGGACCGATGCTAATAAATAATCATAATCGTGCGAAGTCGACCATCGACTTTGACTCTGATTTAATCGGGGACGGTACAGTTACGAGAGGAAACTTCTTTGTCGGATCGTAATTGTTGGACAAAGGAAGCCGATGTTTAATTGTCAACCGTTCGCTCCCTGTTTAATCAGGCGATAATGGATAGTATATTCCGTCGTGGCTGCGTGTTTTCTTAGACAATTGTACGTTTTCCGCCTGCGTTCGAAAAGTGGAGTAGACGCGAAGAATTACGACGATACCTTTTGTGTATTGTAATGGTAATTTTTAGTTACAACAGGACATTGTATGCATTTTGAAAATTCTTTCATATTTTTGTATTTGTTCTTCTTTTAAATATTTTTATTAGAATGGATATGACAAATACGGCGATTCGAACAGAAATTACTTTTTATGCGTTACAGTTATGAAAATCAGGTTAAAGTTTCAGTAATTTAATGCAGGCAAACTAATAAAGAGCTTCTAGTAAATGTTGACCCGTCACTGTTTTTGGAATACCTTTGTTGTCTGCTTTGAATACAAATTGTAATCGACCCGTGGTCCAAGAGGATAAAAACAAATGAAGTTTACACGCATTGTTATGTAAAATTAGAACAGGTGACGGTAGCATTGGAAGAACCAACGAGACCCCTCCGTGGCATTTTTGTTTAATATTTCATGAAAACCGTGCATCGTACTGAATCAAATACCACTGGAAATCTGTACGATCTGTGAAAAAACAAATGCCGCGGTACCGAACGTATAAAAGATTGTAATCAGACTACAATTATTATCAATAACTTTGATTTAAAAAACACACATATTACGTGTCTATCCTGAACATTATCATTACTATAATCGAACTAATTGATTCGTTCCACAAATTACAACGGGAAACGATCGACGAATAATTATATCCAATAACATTCCACAATATGTAATTTCCTCTACGCCGTGAGGGGGACAATTACGCGCAAACACCGGTGAACATAAGAAACCGAAGAAGATCGGTCCTAAAGAAAGTAACAAACACTTTTACGATATTACCATCGCCAACAAGAAGCTGAAACTGGTTTTCAGCGTTAACGAGTCATGTGACACAGAACGAGAAAACCGTTCGGTGCTCGAACGGCAATTTCATTGAAACACGCGCCTCCTCGGATCGGATTATTTCACTCGATCCCCGTTGCGTTCTGTCCGTCCCGACCCACAAACGTGTAAATTGAATTACCCACGCGGTACAGGACAAAATCATTATCCACACGTCAATTTATTAACGCGCGCGTTACACGAGTAAACACGAAGAAAAAAAAAAAGTAAAATTTTAATGGATCCATTTTGAGTCGAGGGCCGTCGTTAACTTTACCGGTAAACATGGCCGTTCAGAGTTGCTCAAGGTCTGAAACTTATAACGTCCGGCAGAGAAAGGAGATCGAGACCATCGAAATCCCTGTGGATCTTATTAAAATAATCAGAGACTCGTCGCGAGTTAAAGCGACTTCGATATTTGAACAGATGCAGTTTATGACTTCATTATAAGGGAGAACGAACCTGCCCCATGACTCGACCAATCTGAGGTTCGTCTCGTTTTGATACAAACGGAATTTTACGGTGTATGGCATCGAATAAAAGAATCAGCTGTTACGGTTTTCGTTTCGGTTTAAAACGCTTTTATGAAGTTATAGAGAGAGAGAGAGAGCATAATATAGCAGAATTGTTACGCGAAATGCAAAGTGACAAGGTTCTCTAGTTATAGTCGGGAGCGGAATCGCGGGTAGAAAAGACGGAGACGCATAATCGTCGACGTCAAAACACGTGTTCTCTCCTTTCAGAGATGATCCTTTTGTTCCCGGAGATACCATTGTTGGGACGGGCCAGCGTCAGCGGTTCGTTCGTTTCAAAAAGTCACGGTCTGCCGCCGGCTGAAACCGGTGAAATGAAGAAACACGCTGGGATTTGGAGTTCTCTGGCCTGGGATTTGTAACGGATACTGTTGTCAACGGACTATGTAAACAAGAACCCTTCTGACAATCGATTATCGATTTGTCTACACTGGCAATCCTGAAGCACGTTTTTTTGTTTTGTTTCACCGACAAGTTAGGTAATTGGGACAAAATTGATTGTAGTTTTATGAATTAAACCTATTGAACTAAAGGATAATCTCTAATTCTTCATTCAAGCTTGACGCTTACCGTGCTCATTTTGACCGAATCATAGCCAGTCTTGATAAAGCCCCAAAATGAGTCAGTTGAATGTGTCACATGAAGATATACAAGGAATTACATCACCTGATACGATGGAATGTTTTATGCAGTGATGATTGTTAAAAATATTTTTATATTTCAAATTCACTATTGTAGTAAAGATAATAATTTGAAAAGGACGTAACAATTTTGCATATCATATGTGTAATAGGTGTAGTACCACCAGTAAAGAAATAAATTATTTAGTTTACGGAATGAACGTAAAAATAGAGATCTTTATCTTATAACGAGTGATAAATGATTTCTGGATATATCGATTGAAAGATTTTTATTATTTTCGCGATAACTGTCTATAATATTCCGACGGAAACTACTCCTTCAACAAAGAGACTGCTATCATTGAAAAGTTTAGTTCAAGACTAAACGGTTATACTTTAGATAAGAAATCTAATCTTACTAAAATGAATTGTGCATTGTACTTCCTCCATTACATCAAATATGTCGTAAACTCTTTTCAATGAATTACATAATGTCTGTCGAAGTTAAATGAGCGTAAACATGTATTGGAATAGAATTACTCTTTTCAAACAATGAGTCATATTACTTCGAGTATCACGTTTCATGAAGCAGACCACATGAAACATTATCCAGTGAACCATTGACATCCAATATTTCAGTGGAAAGAGGATAATGTCTTTATCAACTGTTACTCGTAATGATAAAGCAGAGATCTACCCCGATCACGAATTTCCAGTGCTCAGTCGATAATAGTATAATTTAATTTCACCGATGTTTTGCATTAATTAACTAGTGATCTTTCACTTATTAAAGAAAAACGTTAATACAGATTTCGTAAAATGGTTAAACAAGAATTACTCACCGCTTTCCGTTTGTCCTCTGAACTCAAAGCACTGTGGCTCCTGTGTCTGATGAGATCCATAACTTTGCTCACAGGATTCCTGCTGCTTTCTGATCCGGAACGAGGACGACCCATAATTTCCTTGCCCTCCTTATGATCTTTGCCGTCTTTATGATGATCTTTATCTGTATGTACATCTGTCGACGAACTTCCATGAGAGCCTCTGTGCAAAGAATGCTATAACACATGTAAGAATATTCATTGAACTGATGAACCTTCCTAATCATTAAATACTAAAAGAAATATTACGTATCCGTACACAAACTTCGAGATACATTCACTTTAACCTATTACAACACGAAAAATGTCAGATTGGCGAAAAATAAATCTCTAGCAGCAATTCATCTTTTGCAGTACTGGAGTACCATAAATTGTACACACATAAATCACATCTCTACTGATACATGTCGACTCAGATTTCAATCAGAATAACATGACAAATAGTAACCTGTTTACGTTTCGAACACAGCCATTTGTCTTCTACAAACCTGACACAGTGAATACAACCAAAATTTCTCTAAAATCACAGCACCGTATAAAATACCCAAGAACAATACAAAAAATATACAAAACAGCTGTGATATTAGAAGAACTCAGCCAGAAATCTCTAAGAAAAGTGACAAATTATATCATTCAAACTAAAAGTAACTATATCTCAGAAACAAATAGCTATAGGACTCCTGTTTATCGGGACTTCATTAGTTTTAGGTCACTATCAATAGCTTTTTCTTCATCTTTTTTCACCCCCGCAAGGTAATAGAGTTTAAAATGGTCCCTGTGTAACTATCTATTACATGGCTAGAGTATTTTGCATGGTACCTGCACAGCGCTCTTCATGTTCGCTATAATACTGGGTTTTCTTTTGCTAGCATCGGACTTGCTCCTTGGCCTGAACGCGTCGAACAGCGCCGGTTTCCTGGTCGGGCTGGCCGTGTCGTCGACGGTTCCGCCGCTTCTTCGTCGTTCGGCACTATTGCTGCGGCTGTTGCTGCGGCTGGTAGAGCCAGACCGTGTGCCGGAAACTTTTCTACCACCTTTGCTCGAGCTCGACGAACTGGATGGTTCCGCCGGTTGCGGAAGGGGCGTCGACTTTCCGGAACCAGGGGCGCTGCCGGAGGTCGGCTTTCTGATGGTCCTCGAGTGCGACCCCCATGTTCCTGTTACGAGCAGAAATGTGTTTTATAAGTACAAATTTCAACATTTGACGAACACGACGAAAGATGGATGTATTTGTCTCTTACCTGCACGAGGTCTTTGACCCTGATCCTGGGAGGCTTGACTCGAATTGTCTGCATCCTCGGTCACGATTGTCGGCAGAGGCTGCGATCCAAGTTCCTGGAAGAAAAAATCAACTGTAATTTGTACAGATGCATGAACATCATGAATCAATTTACTATTCGCCCTCGCCATGCTGTTCGCCGCGCTACCATTTTATAACCAGAGGTTCTGGTCACTCGAACAATCGGATATTATTACTCGTTTATAGCATGACGCGGAGCCTACTTTCTGTGTTCGTGTATTACATAAAGCTTGTGTTCGTGTAAACGTGTCGGAAGATGTAAAAATTGTAAATATTTTACGTATCACGTGTACTCTCTGTTTCATTAAATAAGAATCAAGAGGAATGAATCATGTTTCGTCTCCGGAAACCGACATTTATGGTTTATAGAACCAACGGGTATCGTTCGTTCGAGTGTTTCTTGTTTTCTCTAAACGGAAGTATAGAGGTGGCACTCGACTTACAACCGAGATAATATAACTGACGAAACACACTGCGCCTCTCGTTGGGATTTCAATCACTATTGTTTACCCGTGTACTCTTATCGCAACTGTCAAAGGTTTTTACTGTAAACTGGAGGGAATTACGATTCCCTCTCCTTTTGATATCGGAATGTACAAAGTGTGGTGAAGAGGTGGAATGTTACATTCTTATTATATGGTAGAAATGCATGAAGACGAGTAGTGCACGTAGGTCTCTAATTGATTCTTGCCGGTTATAGCGTAGTCAGTATACAGCTTCGTGCGGCAAGGATCAATCACGCCGAGTAGCGTAACGTTGAAGTGCCCTAACTGTTATTGATTACGGTGCAATATCCAACGACCTTTGTCTACGACGAGAACAACAGAACACGAAACACACGACAGGAAATAAGCTATGATGAAATTTTATTGTCAACGGATCTAAAGCTACAAAATACAGTGATTAGATATCGTTGTTTAATCAAGAGTCGCTAGTTGACATCGCATTTATATTTAGAAAGATTATCTTGCAGAACTTCTTTTTTTTTTTCCTTTCGCGAAGCACCTCGCGTCAGGAAATTTTCGACTCGTTCAGATGTCTTCATCGATACACGATATCATCCGTGATATCTTCTTTGGAACAGTTGTGCGTATACCGATACATTTGATAACCGACGGAGCGCAGACACTCGTATTCACTGTGTTTCTCTCGCGTTGAAGGTTTTTTAATAATTGAGTGAGAAGTTATAAAATCAAATATTGTCGGTCGAAATTAATGATCGTTTTATTATTGGACTGTGGATCGATTGAAGTTTTGGGGTCTTGGGGGTCCTGAGGATCTTCAGTGGCTTATAAGAAACCCCACGAATTTATTGTTTGCGTAAATGGAGCATGTAACGAATGTATGAATTTATTAAATACCCTATTCATACAAAGGACAACAATAACATCGGGAATTCTGAGAGAAATTTATAAGCTATATCTCATAATAAGATAAGGATAGTATTGCTGACTAACTATGTATACTAATCTTAGGAAGAAATAGTCGAATCTTACGTAAGAGAGAACCTGCATTCTCGTATCTTTATCTACAATTTTCTAAGACCATTCCTATCATTCTTTGAATTACTTGTTGGTTTCTGCACAGGTAGCAAATTGTTCCGTTACCGTTCTTTTATATCCCGGTGCCACGTCACAAAATAAGTTCTCGGTGGCTTCCTGTAGAGTTTTCAAGACCGAAGCTTTAAGAATCATCTCATGGTTAGATTACAAATCCTCGCTGGCGTGTTCGACATCAGCACAGACACATTTCCAGAACACAAACAATATTTACAATCGTGTGTTTACGTTATCACGTCGAAAAACGAATTTTTCGTTTGTCCTTTGATCGAAACCCTGCGATCCACCGGTTATTCGCAGAGAAGCACGCGCTCGTAAGAAATTCAATTGTTGCTATTCGATCGTGTTATCGATCGCTAAGAATATTGATTCTAATTCTATCTTCATTCAATCACGTACGCCTCTCAGTTGGAAAATGTGACTTGCTTCGATCGTGAAGTTCATTGGAACTCTAATAAATTCTACTTTCGTACGACGTATCTCTTCTAACATCGTGATACACAAACTGTTGAAATTGTAAACCTAAATATTTTATATTAACCCTACTTTTATCGTTTCAGTCAATCATGACTCGAAATAGGTACAAAACCTTCTTAGTAATTCTTTGCCTAATCGAGGTTTTTAAATCAATTTTTCTACTACTTTTTATATATTACAACAGAAGTGTAGATTAATACATTTTATTTACTTTCTCATTTTTGCATAGGTTCTTCCGAAGAATTTTTCGTGATGCAGGAGGGTAGGAACTCTATTCAATAGCAGTTTCTAAACTGGTAGACAGTACAGGATTTTTGGTCGACCCCAAAAACGGACTCCTGAATTATATCCAACTATACTATATGTTAATTTTAGCACTTTGTATATAAAGTATCGTTGTCAACTGAAAATCGTGTACCACCCCAATACTATTAAGTGTACCATTTAATGGTACCATAATGGACATTTTTAAAATCTTTATTAATATTCACCAATTACCATACAGCGTCTATTACTCCAGTTTCAATAATTTTCTACGATTTCCTACAATTTTCCCAAACAGAAATTTAAATTCTCCTCTATTAAACAAAAAACAAAACCTATCATTAGCTTCGCATACTCCTTACAGAAATAGAATAAAATATCTATAATAGTGACTGTCCTATTTCCAAGCAGCTCACTTCTCCCAACGATTATTTTCTCTTGTAGAAACGAAACGACAACAGTTTAAAAAAAAATTTCAAGCCGAGAACGATCTCCCTCGGGCGCTGAAGATATCTGTCGGCTCCCCTGCGGAATATCCCGGGGATTAGCTTATTTATACGAAAGTATATACTCAGAAATAGATGTTTATCGAACACGGGACGGACGGCGACGGGTGCCTGACGATGCTCGAATAGACCCCGTTTCGCGAAATGTTTCGTTCGCCGTTCGGTGCACGACTGGCATTTTAAATCACGATTGCACTCGCCTGACGTCTGGCAGAATACCACGTGAGCCGCGTGATACAGAGAGCAGCGTGTTATGAAACCGAAAATAAAATCGGCCTGAGATTTACGCACGCGGAACGGGGCAAGAAAATCAAACGTTTCTTCGAGCACACGTGGAATCGGATCGATGACTCTCGATATCATCGCGTACCAGCAGCTTCTCGAGGAAGAGCAAACTGAAGATCCACGAGTATCTATAGAGAGAGTCGTGAGAATGATCGAAAGCAACGTCTTTCGACACTTTCGCTAATATCAGTATCACGTTATTTTTTTTTTTTATCTTTCGACAATTTGGCTATTGCCAGAGTCAATCTTTTTTTCTTTTTTTTTTTTGTTGTAAAATTTGACATTTTTAGCTGACGACAAAATATTACGCCTTTGCAAGTCTAGCCCTGATACATCACCATACACTACTACAGTGTGAAGAAACACCTGCTTTGATCTGAGAAAAATGTAACATTTCATAAAAATATTAAATGTTACATCATTTTTGTTACTGCAAAAACGAATCGAGGAAGTGGAATGAAATTCTTTCTCTAACGAGACTTCGAGGAAACTGAATTGTCCAAGTACATAGCAACATCTAGTTTCGAACACGTGCGACTAATCTGTCTGTTTGCCACTGGCTATTTCTACTAGTCAATTACGAACCGCTTTCGGTGCATCCGCGAAACGTGTTCTCTCGTCTTGCAGATCTTCTGGGAACGTTGTATTTTATCGATAGCCGTGATTCCTTATCTCCTCGTTACATATACTGAACAAACGTTATAATGTTACGAAACAGCGTTTCAAAATTTTACAGAAATCCTGTACCCCCGGTATCTGCTTTCTGTCGCGGCATCGATATCCATTTATAGAAACGACGATAAAACACAGAGAGCAACAGGAAAAGTCTGTCGCCGTCGATCTTCGTGCACAGGACGATTTCATGATCAATAAAATGGAGATTTTATGAATTTGCAGCGTACGAAATACAGTAAAAGAATTCCACAGAGTTAAAATCCCTTGTTCGAAATCACACCCTGTAGATACACTGTAGAAACGTATTAAGAAAAAAAACACACATGCTTGAAAGGAAATAATCAAAGCTTCGGTTACACGATTAAGTTGGACGATTGTGCATTCGACGAAGATTGAAAGGCGATTAATTTAATAAATAACTGAGAACGGTGTTCGAAGGGGGATTATAAACATAAATCAATCACACTCTAGAAAAAAATACCTTTTCGTTCTTTGGATTCTATCGCGCCTTCTTTAAGTCTAACACTGTCTGCCAATAGTTAATCAGTACTCGAGCTCAATTAGATAAGATTACTGAATATCATATGATCGACATCGTGGATCACAGGCGATGGAGTTTGTAAACAAATGATCGAGAGCTGCTCCATCATCGGAAGTTCCAACATATTTAAAAATATAGGTATAATTTATTAATAGACAGCGGAATCCGTGCACTTGTTTGCAAGCACATGATTATCTAAAACACGTGGCACTGAAATGTTTAATAAACTTTATGCAATACGTAGACTACGGAAGTTCATGGAAATTCAAATTGGCATCGTCGATTTCATTGACGGCTTTATATGAACGGAAGTCGATGATAAATGCAATTTTTTTTCAAATAATTTATTAAATTCCCGAAATAATATAAAAATATCAATAAGTTGTGATTCTAAATTTATGTCATACAGACAAAAAAGGCAGCATAAAACAATATGATTAACGTTGCGAGTCGCTTTAATATTGAATAAAAAAATGGAAGATACTTGTGTTTAAAGAAACTTTATACCAAAAAGAAGTGAACTGTAAAGAAAATGAGAAGCTATCACTCTGACTCGTCACGAGATCCAAGATGGCGTCGCCTTGAGAAATTGAGTTCTCCAGTTTGCAGACAGAAAGTATTAAGCGGGCAATTACTATTAACTTTTTAGGCGCCAGATACTTCTAAAAATTAGTCAAACTGTTTAAGATAAATTTGCATGGTAAAATTATCCCTCGAAGTCTTTTTGT